CGTCGCCCTCGCCCTTGCCCACGGTGAGGGGAGGTCACGATATCGCTCAATGTTCCAGCGAGGCTACGGAGTACGATGACAGAAATCTGTACGGATGCAATGCTGCGCGTGACAGCGCCCAGGAAGGTGCGACTGCCCTCACTGAGCGAAACGAGGAGGAAGAAGATGGGGGAAGCTGCGGTCCACGTGAAGACGACGGTGATGACGAGTATATGGACGTTGGGGATGAGAACATGCAGGACCAAAACATGCTTGCCGATGACGACGTCGGTGTCACGTCGGAGCATGGCCCTGGCGACATCCCCACCGGTTCTGTGGGAGCGGTTGTTGGTCGGCCCTTATCGTCCCCTGCGATATGGCATTCGCAAGGCGGGAGTCAGGGTGGGCATGACTCACAGGAGCACGGAGGATCAAAGTCGAGGAAAAGGACAAGAGAAACTTCTCCTTCTACTTCCACTCACAAGAGACAAGCGAGGACTGACGTTGTTAATGAGGCTCGTGGAGCTCTGGTGGCATCCCAGGAGGCGAGACCTCCTCGGAAGAGCAGCTAGGGGGGAAGATCTGGCGGTCGTGGCGGCGGCCGTGGTGGTGCAAGAAAAGGTAAGCAGATAGTGAGGGCCGAAGAACTGCGGGACTCAGGGGATGAGGGCGAGGGAGTGGGCCCTCGCATGCCCGACGATGATGATGAACTGCTTCAGCACGCTGCGCCCATCGACACGACGCGGTGTTTCTTCCTCGAGTACGACGAGCGGGGTTTTGCTAAGCAAAAAGTCCTTCCTGTTCTTGTGGATGTCATGAAAATCAAACGCATTCCCTGCGGGAATATTCTTTTCAACCACTGCTCTTTGTCTGCGAACATTGTGCGAGGCATCGTGAATGCCATCGAGAGTTCCATCACCACGGAACCGGGGGCGTGGGATAGGCCTGAGCTCGTGCTTGCGCCGGTTGACCGCAACGACATCGTTGGCGGGCAGGGTAGGCGGATAACACCGACCGAATTCTTGGAAAGAGACTCCTCGGAGTTCGATTGGTATGCTGTCTGTGGTCAGCATACGGTCGAGGTCATGAAGACATTGGTAAAAAAGGGCTCTCCGGCAGTCGACGTCTATGGCCTTCGCGCGTACTCTAAGGTGCGGGTCGTCTATTTTGGAGATGAGCAGACGCGAGGGTATTTCAATGTCTCCGCCTTCGACAACACTCGCGAAAATCGGGCCATGATGTTGTCCTTCGAGGATGCTGTCCGTGATATGAGGCAATGGTGGATCGATAACCATCGAATCGAGCCCCCGAAAGGCAAGGTCAGCGATAAGGATGCGGTCGCCGTTGCGCACCAAAAGAAGTGGCAAAATTTCTTAAGGGCCTCCATGGGAAAGACATGCGACAAGGCGTTCGTGAAGCAGGCGCTCGAGAATGAGTATAGTAAGGATTGGAGCAATAAACTCCGTGGCTACATGAACCTCGCCACATCCACCGAGGCTGTGTGGCCACTGGTCGAGAAGTTCTTCGAGATGTTCAACGAGGGGAAGCTGCCAGTTGGTGATGGTAAAATACCGCTTGACGTGCCGGGTAGGGTGGAGGGGCGCCAACCAGGCCCGTACACCGACGAGACGAAGGGGCAAAGAACATTATACCATTGCATATACGCGAGAGATGGTCCCAAAGGCTCCACCGTGTCGTGGAAGGATCTATGTCCTTCCTACTTCAAAAATTTTGGGGATTTGACGTGCCGCGAGAGGGAAGTTGCACTGCTCCTCCTCATGAAAGGGGAGGTGGTCGCGACGAACGTCAAGGTCATGCCTCCGAGAGTGAATACGGAGTGCCTCCTCGACATCATGCACAAGGAATGGTACATGGTTCCTATGTTCAACTACGTTGTTTTTCGCGCCGAGGGAAGGGCGGACGATGAGTGGAATGATGCCTTCTTCATGTCATACAAGGACCTCGAAGACAGGTGTGGGCCGAACGGTCTGTGTGCAGCTGAATGGGAGAAGGAACGGGACAAGCTGCATGTCAGCAAAGTGAAGACGGTCCCTCGACGACTCGGAGGGGTGGAGGAGGCAAGGCAAGGATCAGGTTTGGGCCCTACGGCGGCAATGTATAAGGAGGCTCCGTTCCACTTTAAGGTGTTTGTATACACCTCAATCGATAAGCTCGATCTGCTTCGGGCGGAGGTCAAACGGGTCGCCTCCAGCGCACGTCATATCGTGTGGGATAAACTTAAAAAACAAACAACATTGCTACCGGTGTGCATGCCATTGAAGGAAGTGCTGGCTGCGCCAGACGACATCGTTGCTGCGGCGCAAAAAATGACCTGCAGGGCCGTCATCCTTGACATCTCCCCCGCTAATTTCTGCACGACATGGACCTCTCAAGAGTTCGACGCTCTGCACTCTATGGTGACTAAGTGTTATGGCTCTAATTGGGTTCTTTTTGTCTTCGCACCGCAGAAGGTGCAAAGTGATGTTCTGCGTTGCTTATTCCAGTGGGAGGACATCGAACTCATCCTCGGGACATGGAAACGGGTGGACAGGCCATCGAATGACATCATGAGGTATGGCAATATCGCTACGGCGAGTCGAGACATGATGGTCATTGTCCTGCACGCGGAGGGAGGGGATCTCAGAAAGGTCACGGTCGCACCCCGCCTAGTCAATGACCTTACAAACGTGCATGTTGTGGAGGACAAGTTCGGGAAGTGTCTGGGGAAACACGGTGGCATAGAGGGCGATGAAAGTGTGGTGTATTCCATCTGGGAGCGAGAGCCTGGCAAGTTGCGTTCGTTGTGTGGGTCATTCGTCGGGGAGGCGGAAGGTGTGCTTTTATTGGGTAGGGCGCACGCGGGTCTTGTGTGGGAATTATTACTGGCAGGGAATAATGTCATTGCCTGTGACGAGTCGGCAAAGGACATTGCATACTTGACAAAGTTCATCGATATACTTGTCAAGGACGACAGATTCAACTGCCACATCGAGAAACCGCGTTCCAAACATCGCCCGAACAGGGACATGTTCCACAAGTTGGGGCCTAAGAAACTGAAGGTGTGGGAGTACTTGTTCCGCGATATGCCACAAGGACGGCTTGACGGGAAATATATATACAGGAAAGCAAAGGCAACAGAGACCCTCAAACATTATCATGGTGCTCTCACTGGCGCCTTCGAGACTTTTGTTGCTCGATGCGAGATCCTCAAGTTCGATCTTCGCAAAGACAAATTGACGTCCAAGGACTACGCGGAGCTCGCGAAATCGGGCGATGGCTTTAACCCCGTCGACAGCGAGGAAGATTCTTCGGACTCCGACCTCGAACTGGGCGAGGACACATGTGCTGAGGTTCCGCCCGGTGGAATGGTGCAAGCTCACGAAGACGGAACTGTCCATTCACACGGATGGTCCATCACGGTGGCCGCCCCAAGCGTCGCCTCAATGGTGGCCCCGTCCGAGAGGGCTGCATTGCAAGACATTGGAAGATGCGGTGGCAATGAAGAAGACGACATTGAGATACCAGGCGAGGCGTCGACGCTCGCACCAGGCGATGCAATTCCTTCAGGCTACTGTGCTGACCCGGACACGATATATTTCTTGGAGGGCAAACACACCCACACAGGCGAGGATCAGTGGGGCCATGACATCATATGGCATGAGGGCGTTTTACAGCCGTGCATCCAAGATGGGGAGTGGAAGATGGCGGTGAAATACACAAGCGGTTGGAAGACTTTTCGCCGGATGTCAAAGGACATATGGTTGAAAACGACAGAACTCGCGATCCTGCATCGCGTGCGCGTCGAGAATCCAGAGCAGAGCGAGGCCGCCATCAAAGCCAAGGCCGAAGAATTGTTTCATGTCTTGCGCGACAATCGACAACTGGAGTACAGCAACAAATTTTATGCCCTGCGCTCGAGTCCCTCACGCGGGTCAATCAATTGGAAGGTTGATCAAACCGCCAGAACCTTGGAGGGGAGCTGCTCTCATGATTTCATGCCTTCGGTTGAGCCGGCCTCTGTGGCCGCGCAAGCAGGGCACAGGGGAGATGACGGGACTACTGTTGTCGGGCCTCAAGAGGTTGACATCACGTCTAAGCCGCAAATATCGGAAAATTCCATCTCGGTCGCCACGAAACAATCGTCCTCACCCATCGATGTGTCAACGACGTTGCCGTCGGATGCAGGTGCCACGCACGGGAGTTTATTGATAACAAATGCTGCAATGCAAGGCAGATCCGAGATCGAGTCAGAGTCTGATGTTGGGCTGAGCATGGCGGAGAGTCAGTTGCAACCGTCTTTATGCACTGGCAAAGGTGATGCACAATTACCGCTGACACCACAGGGAGGGGCCGGTGGGGATGGCGGGAAGGGAGAGGATGTGGAGGGAATGCACCGTTCTTGTAACCTCGACACCTTAACCGCTGATATTGATTAAAAGGGTGAGGGTGGGTGAGGGGGGAGGGGTGCAATTGGAGGGGGAGAATCTAGTGATATGATTACAACTTCACCTCTGCCTTGTTGAACGAAATTGT